AGATAGATAGATAGATAGATAGATAGATAGATAGATAGATAGATAGATATTATATAATGATAAGCTTTTTATATGCACATAGTGGCAAGTTAATATGACCACCTGGCAGTTTTAAACAAAGTGAGCTATTACATCACAGTGTTGCTTCTAGAGGGCCAGATAACTACTAAAAGAGAATGCAAGGCAAGTGAACCATCAATTGCACTGTGTTACGTTCGGAGATATGGGCAAAAAACTTATCTTAACTCTGTTTGAATGTGGGATTATTGTAGGTGCTTGAAGCGTCGGAACCAGTATCAGAACTGGTAAACAGGAGTTATTAATGTGTACAGAGGGGAAACTACCAAGCAAAAAACTAGGTCTCAACATCAGGCTTGTGGTCCTTCACAGGCTAATGAATGCTCAAGCTCAAAGGAGACTTGTCAGAGTTGTCCAGTGCAACAGAAGAACAACAGTACTTCGAATGGAGGGGAATAATAATGAAGGCCAGGCCCTGAACGAGACCAGATGCCTCCAGTTTGCAAAGAAGCATAAGGATTCGACAGTAGTCAAGGGTCAATGGAAAAGGGTCACGTGGTCTGATGAAATGCATTTTCAATTACGCTATGCATATGGCAGGGTTCGGAAATGGCGAAAACAACACGAAAGCATGAACCACAACTGCATTGCCACGCTGGTGGAGGCAATGGTATGGTTTGGGGGATGTTTTCTTAGCATTGCATAGGTCCTTTGATTCGTGTGGAATAACGTCTAAATGTCCATGAGCACTTAAGTGTTATCGCACATCAAGTGCATCCTGTTATACATCCTGCCGGAGATTCCACACGAGCATTCAGCAAGACAATGCGGCTTCATACTGCTACGAAAATCATACAGCTCGTATTATCGTCAGATGGTTTGACGATCATGACGGTGACTTTAGTTTGCTTCGTTAGTCCTCACAATCACCAGATCTCAATCCGACTGAGAATTTGTGGGATGACATCGAACGAGGCATAAGACAGCAGGATCCTGTGCCATCCAATCAGTTGAAACTGAAAAGTCGCATATGAGATCAAATTCCTCCTACCGCCTACCAACATCTCATAGAATCAATGCTTAGAAGAATTCAAATATTATTGCGGGCTAAAAGTGGTCCAACAGCGTATCGAGGGGGTGGTAGTAAAATATATATATATATATATATATATATTCTAAGGAAGTTTCGAAAAAGACAGGTTCCGTCATCAATAATTGATAAAATAGCATGTGATACCATGCAACCGCTTATGTTTAAAATTTCTACGACCAGTTTAGAAAATGTCAAAAAGAAATAAAATAATAAAATCATTCTATTTTTTGCTGAAAATTCCAATTAATGAAAAAAATGCAATAATTTTTTTTTATTTTATATCATAATTGAAACTTCGAATAACACTATGTAAAATTAGTAAATTGGATCAATATATTATTATCTAATGTATCTTGGATCAATATATATCTTCAAATGTTACATAGATTATGCATTTAAATACCTTTTACAATTTATATGTATCATTATATTATTATGTTCGAATTGAAAGATTCGAATCCAGGAAACCGTTATAATCATAATTTATAAATCAATTCAAATTTTCGTTTCAAAGGAGGTTAAAAGGGCGGGGGGAATTGTGATCACCGCAAGGCGACCATATGTTATCCCATGGCAAAATGGTTGTTGTCTAATATTTTTTAGGAAAGCAACTTTATTGTGTTTTCATCTCTAACTGTTAATCCTGAACTTATCGGTACACAATCTCGCAGACGTATTTGAGTCCAGCTCAGACACATTCTGTGTAAATTCTTTTGATGGCTGAATAGACATTGAACAACCAATCGAGATCAATATTAACATTTTCAGATTGGTGAAATGGTGTTTGAAGGAGATTGTAAGCTGCATCATACACCCATTTAGGATTCAAACGCTCCTACATGAAATATGATTTGAGAGCTAGGCTTTTTTTTTCAATTTTACATGAATAGTGAATGAATTGTTTATATTGCGTGGAAGACAGTCTACAATCTTTTGCAAGTCATTGGGTACGTTAACTATGGATCCTTTTATCCCTAACTGAAGATCAGCACCCAGTTCTCGTATTTGCATGAAAGGGTTTCAGAAAGCCAGCATTCGCTCTTCGATAGGATTCAATTCTTTTCTAAGGGATGGGCTTAAGTTTAGGCCTTGGCCTCGTTTTTTTTCTTGCTTCAACTCTAACTTTTGGGACTGTGTCAGTCAATTTGGACCCACTTTATTTGTGATAGTCACCTGAATTAGTATTGAAAACGATCCAGTTTGAACTGTAGGTTCGAATTTCTGATTCTTAATTGAAACATTAAGAACAAAAATATAGTTCAAATGACAAATTATTCTCTTATTCACTACTCAAGAAGTATTTATGGGATCTCTCTGGTCCCATATCTCAAAAATAAGCTCACCAACTTAATGCATAACAAAATTAAAAGTGAGAAAAAGAATTCTGAAAAAACTAGGAGGCTTCGCCCCCTGCTCGCTGGCGCTCGCCAACCCCCGGAACTGCTTTCGCAGTTCATTTCGGATTGCTTCGCAATCCGATGCTCGCTTTGCTCGCTCATTGGATACGTTCTCAACGTCTAGCTTTTGTATACTTTTTTGAACACTGAAGTTCCGAAAACTTTTCACTGTAGAAAATTCTAAACCTGTGCATTTCAATATTAATTTGAAATTGCAAACAGTTC